GCTGCATCTTGGTGGAGACTGTATTTATTACTGTAGCTATTTTTTTTCCTTCCCTCAAATCACCATATCTGTCGGCCTAGCCGCATCCTGGTGAATTACTGTATATATTCATACTGCTTTAAGGGCTCACTAGTCTTATTCGGTTTATACCAATTGACTACGTGCGAACCTTAATTAATTAATTAATTCTGCATTTATTTTTTCTTTTCATCTCTCTCTCTCTCTCTCTTTCCCCAATCCCAATTCCCTTCTGCTTATGCTCACACGTTCACGTGGTGCGAATTGTGAATTGTTATTCTTCTCTGACATTGAAAAGCAAATACGTGAACAGAAAAAAATAAAAAAAATGTCAAACGATATTGTTGTTAATGAGCAGGTACCCGATCAACAAATCGTGGATCAGGTTATGAGGACCAGAAAACCGCTGTATGATTATGTTACGCCTCCCGTGGATGAGCATGACAGTGTTATTCCACCAGAGGTTAACATGAATCACTTTGAAATCAAGCCTGCTATCATTCATATGGTTTCAAATACTCAATTTGGCGGAGCGCCAACGGAGGATCCAAATAATCACATCACAAAGTTCCTTCGAGCTTGCAACACCTTCAAAATCAATGGTGTGCCAACTGATGCTGTCAGACTACGCCTGTTCCCATTCTCTCTACGGGATCGAGCTCAGAGTTGGCTTGACTCTTTTCCGGATAATCACTTCTCCACTTGGGATCAACTTCATGGTGAATTTCTCAAAAGATTTTTCCCGCCATCTAAAACGGCGAAAATCCGAAGAATGATTCAAAATTTCAAGCAAAATCCCAATGAGCCCCTCTACGAGGCTTGGGAAAGATTCAAAGATCTTCAGCGACAGTGTCCACATCACAACATCCAAAACTGGCACTTGATGACGGCTTTCTATGAAGGCCTACATGAAAATTCTCGGATACTCGTGGACGCGTCAGCAAATGGATCACTCATGTGCCTGGAACTTGAAGAGGCAGAAGAATTGATGGAGCGTATTTCATCAAATGGATCAACATGGTATTCTGAGCGATCATCTGCTCCACCAAAAATCGGAGGCATGTATGAAGTTGATCAAATGTCGGCCATAACCACAAAGGTCGATAGCATGATGAATCTTATCCAAAAGATGGCACAAGTCTCTCTTGTGCAAAACTCAACATCAACTCCAGCTCCCATTCCCGTTCTTATGTGTGAATCTTGCGGTGGACAACACAATCAGTCTACTTGTCCATGGGAAGCAATGGAACAAGTTGACTATGTCAACTACAACAGGCAGCCTCAACAAAATCAATTTGGTAATTTCAATCCTCAAGGAAGAAACCATCTCGGTTTTTCCTGGAGCAATCAAAATGGAGCTGGTAATCCACAACCATCTTATCGGAGTGCACCACCCGGTTTCCAAAACCAACAACAGCAAGTCAGAGGTGGCCAAGGTATTGTGAACCAGCAACACTATAAACCCACTCAAAATCTTCTATACCCTTCAACTCAACAGCAAAAACCACTTCTCCCCACTCCTGAAACAACCCAAACTCCTGTCCTAGAAAACATTGTTGACCAACTTCTCAAGTCCCAATTATCTCAACCTGAAACCCTGAAACAAATCACTGAAGAACTTGGTCAACTTCGAGCTCACAACAAGATGCTTGAGAATCAAATTGCTAATCAAGCATCCACATCATCAACTAAGGTGACAGGTAAGCTTCCTGCTTGTCCTGAAAACCCTAGGGAGCAAATCAATGTCGTCACTACTCGGAGTGGGAAACAACATCAATCCTTGCCCCTTTCTAGTGATGAAAAAGAACATGAAGTGTTGGAGGAAAGGGCCGAGCAACAACAGAAAAGTGGAAACAACAACAATGAACTTGATGTCGGTACCATGCCAAAATCATCTGATGATCGTGAAGGGTCGAAGAAAGAAAAAAACAGTTCGGTAAGGAAATATATTCCCCCAGTTCCTTATCCGAACAGATTGAAGAAAGCTAATATGGAGGAGCGGAGAACTAAATTTTTGAATGTTATCAAACAGTTGGATATCTCAATTCCATTGCTTGATGCCATTACAGAAATTCCTTCATATGCTAAATTTCTCAAAGATATTCTCACAAAGAAGAAGGAGAATCCAGCCACTGTTGCAATGAGCCAAGAATGTAGTGCCATAATCCAAAACAAAATTACACCCAAGTTACGTGATCCTGGAAGCTTCTCAATTCCATGTATCATTGGTGGATCTAAAGTTAACAAAGCTCTTTGTGATCTTGGTGCAAGTGTTAGCTTAATTCCCTATTCACTATGTCAAAAGCTACACTTGGGGGATCCCAAACCAACAACAATGGCGTTACAATTGGCTGATCGATCTGTCAAATATCCTATCGGCATTCTTGAAGATGTTCCTGTCAAAATTGACAAGTATTATATCCCGGGAGACTTTGTTGTCTTGGATATGGAGGAAGATGCTCGAGTTCCTGTTATTCTCGGGAGACCCTTTATAGCTACGGCAGGAGCAATTATCAACGTAAAAAAGGGTACCCTTATCCTTGAGATTGGGGATGATAAGATTGAATTCAATGTACAAGAGCTGAGTAAGGATACACCTTGTGTCCTTGATGGTTACTATGCTGATGTTATAGACTCTTGTATCATAAAGACATTTGATAAGTCTTATTGGCTTTCTAAAGATCCCATGGAGTACACTATACGAGAATCTATTGCAGATGAGCAAGCCAATGAAATGGTGAATTTATGTCTCGAAATGTTGCAAAACATATCTTTACCGATGCCTAAAGCACTTAAATTTGAAGTGCTTAATCTTGAAGATCAATCCTTGAATGTCAAAGGAAAAGCACCTGAAGTAGAACTCAAACCACTTCCATCTACTTTAAAATATGCTTTTCTTGGCCCGAATTCCACTTATCCTGTCATTGTGAATGCTGATTTAGATCTTCAACAAGTGGAAAGAATATTGCAAGTCTTACGAAGCCATCGCAGAGTTATTGGCTACACCATTGATGATATTGTTGGCATAAAGGCATCTTATTGCATGCACCGCATTTACTTGGAGGATGATCACAAGCCGAGCATTGAGCACCAAAGACGCCTCAACCCGAACATGAAAGATGTTGTTAAAAAAGAAATTCTTAAACTATTGAGTTCGGGTATCATTTTCCCCATTTCGGACAGTAAATGGGTAAGTCCTATCCATGTGGTGCCAAAGAAAGGAGGAATTACTGTTGTAAAGAATGACAAAAACGAGCTGATTCCTACACGAATAGTCACTGGATGGCGCATGTGCATTGATTACCGCAAGCTAAACAAGGCTACTCGGAAAGATCATTTTCCACTTCCCTTTATTGATCAATTGCTGGAGAGGATGGCTAAGCACAAATATTTCTGTTTTCTTGACGGATTCTCTGGATTTTTCCAAATCCCAATTCATCCGGATGATCAAGAAATGACGACATTTACATGTCCTTATGGTACTTTTGCATATCGCAGAATGCCGTTTGGATTATGTAATGCACCAGGAACCTTTCAAAGATGTATGCTAGCTATTTTCTCGGATCTTGTCGAGGAAATTATGGAAGTTTTTATGGATGATTTCTCGGTTTATGGGATTTCATTTGATGATTGTCTTGAACATCTTGATAAAGTGCTGAGCAAATGTGAAGAAGCAAATCTTGTCCTCAACTGGGAAAAATGTCATTTCATGGCAACCGAAGGCATTGTGCTTGGGCACAAAATTTCTGAAAAGGGCATTGAAGTAGACCCGGCAAAGATAGAAGTAATTGATAAATTGCCACCCTCTTCTTCCATCAAGGGGATTCGCAGTTTTCTTGGCCATGCGGGATTTTATCGATGGTTTATCAAGGATTTTTCAAAAATATCAAAGCCTTTAACCAATCTTCTCTCAAAAGATGTGGAGTTTAATTTTGATGAATCTTGCTGCGCCGCATTTTCAAAACTCAAGTTGGCCTTAACTACTGCACCAATTATTCGGCCACCTGATTGGAGTCTTCCTTTTGAACTCATGTGTGATGCAAGCGATTATGCCGTGGGAGCCATTCTGGGTCAACGCAAAGGCAAAGAAGTATATGCCATTTATTATGCAAGTCATACTCTTGATGATGCCCAATCAAATTATGCCACAACTGAAAAAGAGTTCCTTGCCATAATTTTTGCCATTGAAAAATTCCGATCTTACCTTATCGGTAGCAAGATTATTGTCTATACCGACCATGCGGCTATCAAATACCTCATCAACAAAAAAGATGCAAAACCGAGGTTGTTGCGGTGGATCTTGTTACTACAAGAGTTTGACATGGAAATCCGTGATAGAAAAGGATCTGAAAATGTTGTTGCCGATCATTTATCTCGACTTGAGATTCCTTGTGATACCAAGATGCCAATCAATGATTATTTCATTGGGGAACAACTTATGACTGCTCAAAATTTTGATCCATGGTTTGCCGATATTGCAAATTACCTTTCTCACAGGGTAATTCCACATGGTGCTACACATACTGAAAAGAAGAAGTTAAAATATGACTCCCGCTACTATCATTGGGCAGAACCTTTTCTCTATAGAAGGTGTGCCGATGGAGTCATTCGACGGTGTTTGCCCGAAGATGAAGTTTCAAATGTCTTGCACCATTGTCATTCCTCACCATATGGGGGACATCATGGAAGCTCTCGTACTGCTGCAAAGATTTTACAATCTGGTTTCTTTTGGCCCACTATTTTCAAAGATGCAAGCAAATTTGTGAAAAACTGTGATCGTTGCCAACGTACCGGCAATATTGGAAGAAAGAATGAAATGCCTCAACATGGCATACTTGAAGTCGAATTGTTTGACGTGTGGGGGCTCGATTTTATGGGGCAATTTCCAAAATCAAATGGGAAAGAGTTCATCCTTGTAGCTGTTGATTATGTTTCTAAATGGGTAGAAGCAGCTGCCACACAGAAAAATGATGCCAAAGTGGTGATCCAATTCATTCAGAAAAATATTTTCTCCCGATTCGGAGTTCCACGATCTTTCATCACCGACAATGGTACTCATTTTTGTAACAAAGCATTGGAACGTGTCCTTTCCAAATATGGGATTCACCACCGACTCTCAACTCCATACCACCCGCAAACAAATGGCCAAGTGGAACTTTCAAACCGAGAAATCAAAACAATTCTCGAGAAAGTTGTTAATCCTTCCCGAAAGGATTGGGCCGAAAAGCTTGATGATGCACTATGGGCATATCGCACTGCTTACAAAAATCCCATCGGCACCTCACCATTCAAATTGGTGTATGGGAAAGCATGTCACCTTCCTGTTGAGGTTGAACACAAAGCATATTGGGCAATCAAGATACTCAACATGGATCTTGCATTGGCGGGTGAGAAACGACTGTTGCAGCTAAATGAACTTGAAGAATTCAGACTTGCAGCTTATGATAGCTCAAAACTCTACAAGGAGAGAACAAAAGTTTTGCATGACCGGGTGATCAGCCGAAGAAAATTTGAACGGGGAGATAAAGTTCTTCTATTTAACTCACGTTACAAATTCTTTCCCGGAAAGCTAAAGACCCGATGGTTGGGTCCATTTGAAGTACTTGAAGCATTTCCATCCGGAGCAGTCCAGTTGTTAAACAAAAGCGGCCAAAAACTCATGGTAAATGGACAACGGTTGAAACTATACCATGATGGTGAGAGACAAGAGGCAACTTCTGTGTATTGCCTCACTGATCCGAAATATGAATGAAGAGGCATGGGTCAAGCTAATGACCTTAAACGAGCGCTTCTTGGGAGGCAACCCAAGTTTGTAAATTTCAAAAAAAAAAAAAAAAACAAAAAAAAGCAAAAAAAAAAAATGTCTAGGTTTTTGTTTTTGGACTCTAAAGGGGCCACATCCGCTCGAAAAGACATCTCAACATCATCCGTCCGCAATTCAGGGAAGTTTTCTTTACACTCCTTTAATTTATTTTCCACTAAGGACAGTGCAAATTTTAAGTGTGGGGGAGTGGGTAGTTCGACCCTAATTTCTTGTGTGAATATTTTTTCTTTTTCCTTGCTTGTTTGTGTGATTTTATTTTCTTTTATTTTTATTTTGTGTGTTTGTTTAGAAAAGTAAAGACCAGTCTTGTCCAAAATACAACAATAGACAAACAACACATTAGTTTACACTTTTTGTTACTAGTTACTTCCATAACTTTTTAAAACTATTCATTCACCTCTTTTGACGAAATGTGGTTTGAGTTTGAGAAGTGTCACTATAATTTTTTGAGAGTAACTTAGTATTAGCTTTGAACTTGATTCTTTTTAACACTTTAACATTAAACACCTTAGATTTTATTTTTCCAATTTATTGGTTAATAGTTGAATTAGTGAAAGTTTATGCAGATTAAGATGTTCATACATTTATTCTCCTTGAAATTTTATTTGAACTTGACACATATAGAAATGATTTAGGCCATCTTTGTTTACCCATGAAGCCAAACACTATCCCTTTGTAAATAAATAACACTTTCCATAGTAATCCCGTTCGAGCCTTTTCAGTGTACAAGTGTAAAATATCTTACTTCACTTGTTACTAATTCTTTTTTATTTGTAACCCTGTAAATACATAACCTTCTGAAGCCCTATTCAAAGTTAATCTTTTCTAATCCTAGAGTAGATTGTCTTGTTACTTGAGAGTAAATAAATGGAGCTACTATTAAGTGTCATATGAGTGAAGTACATATTTGTTTGTAAATTTTGGGGTTAGTTTTTCATTGTAATGTTAAGTGTGTGACCTCTTTGAAAAAAAAATCAAAAAAAAGAAAAAAGAAAAAAAAGAGATGGAAAATTGGAAAAAAAGACAAAAAAAAAACAAAAAAAAAAAAACAAAGAGGCACATTAAATTCTGGATGATTGCGCCTTGACCCATATTTACCATCAACAAGAAACTTCGTGTTTTTCTTATATGTGAAAAATCGAGAAATAATTCTTTTAGGATCTCACAAATATATTTGGATCCTCTACCGATATACAACTTCCTAAAATAATGCGAGATATTTATGATGAAACGTTAATGTTAAATGAACGGTCAGATTTACCGGTAACTATTTTTGGAAAAAAGCGGGACCGCATTTTCCAAAATAATGTCCTTAAAGGTAATGTCCACTATGATTATTTTCCAGAAATGGAAAGTTGATCCTCAACCGCACGTTTCTTCCAATGAAGTTAGGCAGATGGCACTATTGTTCTTTATTCATTCCGTACCCCACTCAATTTCATACACGTGGGCCTGTTTTATTCTTCCGTGGTACGAAATACCCAAAATACCCCTAGCGGGGCCCACAATATAAAGCACGGAGGAGGGCATCCCGGTAATATTAACAGGATGCCCCCCCCCTATATATTGTCCCCTTATCACTCTTTCATTTCAGAAGTTTGCTCTGGGGCGAAAGAGTGGCACCAAAGAGTGACACTCCTTAAATACCAATAGTGAGTACTGAAAAAGCCACGCACCGGGCATTTTGTCTATAACTGATAAATCCGATAACCTTTCACCATTAACATCCCTACGCATGGATACCTCGGCGATTAATATCAACATCTCCGATGAAATTTCTGGTACTCACAAATCAGATATCCATGAAGAATGCGCTTCTTCGACATGGAAACCCTTACACCTGCGCTTTCCTACCTTACTCTCACAAGCTTTTCAAAGATTACAGGGACACTCATATTGTATCGACAGATGTTTCATCGCTTACAGACCCCAGTGTCCTTATAACGCCACCGGGACTGTTATTCTTGAGATGAGGGACATAAGGTTGCAGGAAGATGACCAATTACAGGCCACATTCCAATTCCCAATTAATTGTGCTGTAAACTTGTGCTACTACGGAACTTCGTACATTTCAATGTCCGAAAAAGAGAGGCCATGGGTAGCAAGATACAGACTGATGGGATCTAACGTCATTGAAACCTCAAGATTCTGCAAGATAAAGGCCAGCCTTAAGCTATCAACGGAGAAGGAGATAACAGTAAAACCGATGCTGAGACCCCCTGAAATTAAGATAATAAGTCCCGACTTTAATGGGGACGATGTCTCTGTTGAGCATGTTGCGAAACCCAAGGCCAATGCACTACGACGTGTACAAAGCAATCACCAAGCTCATACCGTCGTCAGCGCATCAATGCAACCTACTCACCCAAGCAGGCATAGCATTGAGGGACCTACACTGGGATCCACCGTAGGTCCAGAAGATTCAATATCTCAAGTGGGATCTAACACTTCTTTCAACGAAGATCGAGCCCAAGACATAGCAACCAGAGCTGCAAAAATAGCTCTATTAGATGCAACTAAGTCATCTCATCAACACACCACGAGATTTTGAGTGCTTTCCGCTGCGCGGCCTAGAAGCCTAAGCGATTGTTGTTTGGATTTAATATTGAATTTGGTATATATGTCGAAACATTATAATAATAAGAATTGTTGTTTTCTGAAATTATAAATCCCTTTATTAATTGGAATACACATTCCCTACAACTGTAATTACACTTAATATCCATAAGTTATACGTGAGGATATATTGATGGAAGCGTAATGAACTTCGTCGCTAAACTTATAACAAAGATAATACAACATGGCATTCTTCTGGATATTACTATAACGACCATCTATCACTCCTTCCTTGTCGTGGAAGCTAACAGTCAGGCCCAACCTCTGCAGAGGTAACCAAATCTTCAACGGATACCTATCTCCAGCATTAACACCATTCTGAACTACTTCGCGTCTTGATAACATCCTGAAACGCTTGGAAAGATCAGGTTTTATCCTAGACGTTAGATCACATGGATGTGAGAAACCATCGAATACTTCGTCAAACATGGGTAATGATCCCGTTGAAGAGCTTGGGAACCTATCTAGTAACACATACAATACCACAACAATTGATGTCGTTGACGGGTCGTCAACATCTGACATTTCTTGGTTCTGCTTGATCCTATTAACCTCAAAAGACCCGTTTATGATGAGACTGCGTAAAGTAATTGATGCCTTGGGACGTTCATTATTAAGAACGCCGCGAGAGGGCATCAAAAAATTATCCCTCGTCATGCTGCCTTGAGGGATAAGTAGGGTACCACCATCTCCCCAGCGTTCATCATATGACCCAATTGAAGGCTTCCGAGGGAATGTACGACGTCTAGGGGCTGTACTCTGCTGCGCCTTGCGATACTTAGACCAGTGAACGCGTGGATGATTGCGCCTTGACCCATATTTACCATCAACACGAAACATCATGTTTTTCTTATATGTGAAAAATCAAGAAATAATTCTTTTAGGATCTCACAAATATATTTGGATCCTCTACCGATATACAACTTCCTAAAATAATGCGAGATATTTATGATGAAACGTTAATGTTAAATGAACGGTCAGATTTACCGGTAACTATTTTTGGAAAAAAGCGGGACCACATTTTCCAAAATAATGTCCTTAAAGGTAATGTCCACTATGATTATTTTCCAAAAATGGAAAGTTGATCCTCAACCGCACGTTTCTTCCAATGAAGTTAGGCAGATGGCACTATTGTTCTTTATTCATTCCGTACCCCACTCAATTTCATACACGTGGGCCTGTTTTATTCTTCCGTGGTACGAAATACCCAAAATACCCCTAGCGGGGCCCACAATATAAAGCACGGGGGAGGGCATCCTGGTAATATCAACAGGATGCCCCCCCTATATATTGTCCCCTTATCACTCTTTCATTTCAGAAGTTTGCTCCGGGGCGAAAGAGTGGCACCAAAGAGTGACACTCCTTAAATACCAATAGTGAGTACTGAAGAAGCCACGCACCGGGCATTTTGTCTATAACTGATAAATCTGATAACCTTTCACCATTAACATCCCTACGCATGGATACCTCGGAGATTAATATCAACATCTCCGATGAAATTTCTGGTACTCACAAATCAGATATCCATGAAGCATGCGCTTCTTCGACATGGAAACCCTTACACCTGCGCTTTCCTACCTTACTCTCACAAGCTTTTCACAGATTACAGGGACACTCATATTGTATCGACAGATGTTTCATCGCTTACAGACCCCAGTGTCCTTATAACGCCACCGGGACTGTTATTCTTGAGATGAGGGACATAAGGTTGCAGGAAGATGACCAATTACAGGCCACATTCCAATTCCCAATTAATTGTGCTGTAAACTTGTGCTACTACGGAACTTCGTACATTTCAATGTCCGAAAAAGAGAGGCCATGGGTAGCAAGATACAGACTGATGGGATCTAACGTCATTGAAACCTCAAGATTCTGCAAGATAAAGGCCAACCTTAAGCTATCAACGGAGAAGGAGATAACAGTAAAACCGATGCTGAGACCCCCTGAAATTAAGATAATAAGTCCCGACTTTAATGGGGACGATGTCTCTGTTGAGCATATTGCGAAACCCAAGGCCAATGCACTACGACGTGTACAAAGCAATCGCCAAGCTCATACCGTCGTCAGCGCATCAATGCAACCTACTCACCCAAGCAGGCATAGCATTGAGGGACCTACATTGGGATCCACCGTAGGTCCAGAAGATTCAATATCTCAAGTGGGATCTAACACTTCTTTCAACGAAGATCGAGCCCAAGACATAGCAACCAGAGCTGCAAAAATAGCTCTATTAAATGCAACTAAGTCATCTCATCAACACACCACGAGATTTTGAGTGTTTTCCGCTGCGCGGCCTAGAAGCCTAAGCGATTGTTGTTTGGATTTAATATTGAATTTGGTATATATGTCGAAACATTATAATAATAAGAATTGTTGTTTTCTGAAATTATAAATCCCTTTATTAATTGGAATACACATTCCCTACAAAAAATTATCCCTCGTCATGCTGCCTTGAGGGATAAGTAGGGTACCACCATCTCCCCAGCGTTCATCATATGACCCAATTGAAGGCTTCCGAGGGAATGTACGACGTCTAGGGGCTGTACTCTGCTGCGCCTTGCGATACTTAGACCAGTGAACGCGTGGATGATTGCGCCTTGACCCATATTTATCATCAACACGAAACATCGTGTTTTTCTTATATGTGTAAAATCGAGAAATAATTCTTTTAGGATCTCACAAATATATTTGGATCCTCTACCGATATACAACTTCCTAAAATAATGCGAGATATTTATGATGAAACATTAATGTTAAATGAACGGTCAGATTTACTTGTAACTATTTTTGGAAAAAAGCGGGACCGCATTTTCCAAAATAATGTCCTTAAAGGTAATGTCCACTATGATTATTTTCCAAAAATGGAAAGTTGATCCTCAACCGCACGTTTCTTCCAATGAAGTTAGGCAGATGGCACTATTGTTCTTTATTCATTCCGTACCCCACT